ACAGACAAGCAATCCGAACTGCGAACATGCCAGAAACATGTGGGTGTGTGTTCATTGCTCCATTTGGGGTCTAAATCTGTTTGTTCTGCACTGCATATGTTTGTGTTGTTCACTCTAGTTGGGGATCTCTGCTGGATGGTGCTGTTAAGAACTGACATCTCCTGGCTGCTTTGGAAAGCACAGTCATCCACTTGCCAATATATAGAGAGTGTTCCTTTTTTTGGGATATAAGAGAAACCTGGTCACACACAGCACTAAAATTTGAGGTTTTTTAATATCACCTGTTACTCATCTGTTTTTTTTTTTTGTTTACAAGTGACAGCTCAGAGTCTCTCCATTCCAGAACTGGAGATTAAGGGAGATCTCAGCTGTATGGTCATCTCTGGGTGATCAGAGCCCAGGAGCACATGCTATCTAATGTTGGACCATCCTTCTCACAGCTCTCTTTACTTTCAGGATGGCAAATCATATGAGGAGATGAAGAACAGCTTAGGAGATGTGTCGGCTCTATCTGAGATCACAGTGGTGAGTGGCTACTGGACCAGATAGCTGGGAAATACCTGAGCTTAAACATCACCACGTCCCCCTACCTGTTTGCATGAAGGAGAGGCTGTAGTGATTAGAGTAGGCGTGGGGACCTCAAGCTGTCAGCGAAAAGCAGAGGGAAATGTCATTAATAACCCATAAATACAATAATGTATGCAATTAAGAGTTGTATGAGCAGTTTTCAGAGCTGTATCACCTGAGACCCCTGATGTGGGGCCCCTGGTCAAGAAGGACACAACCCAATGGGAGGTCCCAGAAAGAGAGCACAGCATCCCAAAGGTTCCAAACATAGCAGTCACATGGGATTGGTTCTGCCCTGGACAACAGCAGGAGGAAGGCTGGAATTTGGTGGAAGGGCTTTGAGTGGGAGAGATGGCAGCGTGGGTATAAGCATGCAGCTAATTTAGAAGTTTTAGACGAGGTCATATCTGATCTTACCTTCTGTGCTCCCACATGCACCTTTCCCTGCCATTATCTTGGGAAAATTGAGACTACCGTAAGCATCTTCTGTTATTTCTGAGGGCTCCCAATGGGGTTGTGTTTTTAACAGTCCTAACATCTTGATGTAAGACTGATGGAAGTGCTGGACTGTAGTTCTAGTGTTGTCTATCTCCTTGCTGCTTGGCTCTCCAAAGCAGCAGACAAGCAGATAGCCTGTGCCAGAACAGTCCCTTCAGCCCCAACGGAAAGAGGCAGAGGTAGCCCCCAGTTTGCTCTACCACAGTTGACATTTCTCCTCCATTTTACAGGACCTGAACAACATCAGCCTGAGCAAAAGAACCCTCAGCATGACCAATCTGGCCAGTTCAAGCACATCAAGTGCTTCCCCAGAGTACAAATCGCACTTCAACCACAATGACAGCAGCAGCTACGCCAACAGCAGCGCCAATGGCAGCCCTTTCACAGCGCCCAATGACCAGGGAGTTTACTCCCGAGAAGTGCTAATGAACAAGACTGTGGATGAACTTCCAGAAGGAGTGGATCCCACTAAAAAAGAGGTGACAGCACTGCTGGTTTTATGGCCTTGTAGCTTACCCGGGAACTTAGTTGCAGGCTACATGTGGCAGCACGTCAGATTATTTAGTCCTACCTCAGACTCAAGGAGATGCCAGCTGGACAGCGAGGTCTCATGAAGAAATGAGAGGAAACTGTGGTAGTTTTACTGTAGTTAAAATATTCCTTTTTTTTTTTTTTTCCCTAGTGAAAGAAAAGTTAATTTTGCCAACATCTGTAGCTGAGTGCAAGCAAGCTGATGGGAGGAACACAGGGCTGTTTCCTATTCTCAAAGACCCATGTTTGACCAGTTTCTTGCCCTAGCTGATGTCCTGGCCAACGCCTGGAGCCAGAGGGCTGATCTCCTACTGGGTCAGCAGCTCTGCACTGCAGCAGTGCCCATGTGGAAAGGATTGTGTGTCAGCTGGGCTGTACAGGTCTTTTCTTTTACCCAAAATGCCAGAGAAGATTTAATTTCCATGTCCCACAGGGTCTTTCTTTGTCTACTACCAACAAAATGTTTTGTCTTTCCAGAAATGGGAGTGGACATTTCAAGTGGAATATTTGGGGGGACTTAAGCCAAGGGGAGATGCTTTCATTGTGAATTGCTCATTGTGAACCTCTCAAAGCAAGCCAACAGAATTCTCAGAAGCAATGTTAATTGCCTTAGCTTGAATATGATTAGCAGGAACCAAATTCTGACCAGAGCATGCTAACTCCTCAAAACCAAGGCATCTTCTTGGGCTATTATTCCTCTGGCACTTTGTAAAGTAGGAACAGTTGCTGGGATAGGACATTCCATTTCCCACCATGAGGACAGAGAGCAGGGCAGGAGCTGTTTGCCTGGGGTCAGGAATCAGCTCTGACAGGGTGAGCAAGGAATGTGGCTGAATGGAGGTATCCCAGCCTTTGCATAAGCCAAAGCTGACCTCCTCTTGCTCTCTCTTCCTGCTGCAGTACTATCTCTCTGATGCTGATTTCCACGAGATCTTTGGGAAGTCCAAACATGAGTTCTACCAGATGCCCAAATGGAAACAGCAGAATGAGAAGAAGCAGTGTGGACTCTTCTGAGACCGCAGGGGCCGCCCCGCATCCAACAACTTTGGGACCAACCTTTCTCTCTTAGGAGATACAGGGAAGAAGCACAGACATTGGCTCAACAAACCCAACCCAACATCTCAATCAGGCCAAGCTCCAATGCAGTAACTCCAGCAGCCTCTGTTCAGGGAATGGCAAAATGTTTTGCAGGAATGGCTTTGCATGAAGTTTTTGCTTCTTTTGGACACTTTATTGCTGATAGCCATGAAGACAAGTGGTCAAAACTGCATTGTAGCCTCTTCTTTCCTCACCCTTTTGCAGTTTGCCACTTCTGCAAGATTGCAATCCTCTTCCATTTGTAAAAGTTAAGAATTAGGTAAGATAGTGGCAACTTGCAGCTGTTACGTGAGTTCTGGATGGGGTGAGAAGGGGAAAACTTTGGGGGGATGGATGGGGTGCCCTGGAGTCAGGAGAAGGGAATGGAGTAGCCAGATGTGTGCTGGGGCAGCCTGTGGAGTGCAACTGGCCAGCTAAGAACCTTCTCACCCTGCAGAAAAGCTACTCACCAAAACCCAATGAGAATCAATTGTAGCTTAACATGCACAGCCTAATGCAGGTAAAACAACTGAGAACTTGGGTTGAGGGGGGAGGGGGAAGAAAGATGCTCATACATATGTAGAGTGTATTTATTAGCTGTTCTATTTCAAAAAGATGATGAGATTTGGGGCTAGGTGCAGCTGTTGATTTTTGACTGCCCAACAAGACTCTGCATCTCCAATCTCACCTGGCCTTGCCTGAGCATGACCGGGTGTGGGTAAGCATGAGTTTACCTGCCCACAGAGCAGAGCCTTGATGAAGCCAGGAGGGTTTGGAGGATGATGACCTGACACAGTGTGTGTCCCAGTGGAGAGCTCCATCCCTGTGATGTCCATGGGCTGAGGGTGCTGGTTCCACATTGAGCTCAATCAGATTGGAGAGGGAAATGTGAGTAAGAGGGATGAAGGGATGCAACTGTATAAGAAAGGAGGGAAAACCTATGTTTAAAAACCCAAAAGATGTGCTTTTAAAGCTTTACTCCATTTCCAGCCTGATTGATGATTCCAAATAAACAGCCAGCAGCAGCATTGGAGGTGTCTTTGATCAGTGTGTGGAATAGGATGGTGGTAGAGAAAAGTGCTGCAGAGCCATTGCTATTTCTTTCATGGAATTTAAAACAGTTTTTAGGAGAAAAGAACGAACACCACAATCATAGAAGCATAGAGTTGTTTGAGTTGGAAAGGGCCCTTAAAGGCCATCTGCTCCAATTCCCCGGCAATGAAGAGGGACACCCACAGCTCCACCAGGTGCTCAGAGCTCTGTCCAGCCTCACCTTTGGTGTCTCCAAAGATGTGGCATCCATGACCTCTCTGGGCAATCTGTGCCAGCGCCTCACCAGTGGTACTCCCCATTATGTGGGCTCTGCTCCTGAAGGCCCTACACCCTATAGGAGATGAGGAGCTGCTGACAGCTGGTGGTCAAGAAGCAGAGAGCTCTCATGCAGCACCTGGCACCACAATACAATGCTGGAGCATCACCATCGGGCCAGGCTAGAGGCAGGGACTTCTAGTTGGTGGGATATTCTGGACAGATCTTTGTGTTTGAGAATTAGCAGTTACCTTACATCAGCTGCAACACCATCATTACTTCCATGATCCAGCCAGCACCTTGGCCCATTTCTGCTCAAGGGTCCAGCCCAACACCCCTTACATGCAGGTAGGAGTCAAGCAGAGACACAAATGGCTCATATCACCTGTGTGATTGCTCCCACTGTGTGCTCATGATAGATACAACCATTGCACCTTTTCCCTGCTCCAACCATGATCAGCACAGCTGGAAGCAGCAATTGATGTACAGTATTTATAGCACCCTGCTGTGGTGTGCTGCTGCCAGCTCCCATATTAATGAATTGCATGTGCCACTTCATAATGTGCCCAGAGAGCTGCGGGTGCTCCATCCCTGGAGATGCTCGAGGCCAGGCTGGATGGGGCCCTGGGGAGCCTGAACTGGTGGGGGGCAACCAACCCACAGCAGAGGAGTTGGATCTTTACACTATGATTCTATTATAAAATACAGCAGTTCCACCTATGACCTTGCCTACAGGCCTAATGAGCATCACATAATTGAATGGAGAGCAGCAGGAATCCAGCCAGATGAAGGAGACGAGGCCACTTTGTTCTGTTCAGTTTGTTGCTTTGGTTCTTGCTACCATGATGTTTACCAGAAACACAGAATATCCCAAGTTGGAAGGAACCCCCACAGACCTCAGCTGCCCTTCACAGCCCTTGCCCTCAGACCCTATCTCACTCTTGGACTCCCAGATCTGCCTCGGAGGCCTATGCTGCTCACAAACTGTTTCAGCCATGACAATTAATTCAGTTTCAGCCTTTTGGGTGTGGATATAATTCACATTTAATCTGGCAATGGTTTACAACATCACAGATTATTATAGTGAGGAGGAAAAATCAGTTTGTCCAACAATTACAGCATAACAAACTCCAGGTTGGACTGAAGGAAGCCCCGTTTTGCAGTGGGCCCAAAGATCACTAAATCCACACCATTTCAGACTCAAAAAAGGTGTAGAGTGGAATTTGCTTACAAGGAAATGAACCATTTTGGTAGCAGCCCACCCACTTCAACGCCAGCCATGCAAACCCCCAGGAAGACTGACAAAAGTCATAATTTAGTGGGTATGTCTCCAAGTTCATGCATGTTGCATTCGGGTAAGCCAAAGAGGCAAACAGTGACAAGTAATTGGACTTTTCCAGATTTTTTTTTAATAGTCTAACACAGTGTTAGTAACATCATAGGAGCTTCAAAATATATATTATTTTATTTCAACAATATTCACTTAACTCCACTGTTGTGCTAGAAAAAACAAAACAAAACAAAAAAAAAACCAAAAAAACACCTTTTGCCATAAATACTGGGTTGTTGTTCAAAACCCTTTTGAATGCTTGTGCTGGGTTACCTCTGCAGTGCAATGGGACCAAGCTAGCAATAAACACTCTTTCTACCACTGCTTCCTCTGGGTTAAAAAAGATCTTCCTATAAAAACAAAACGAAACAAAAAAGCCCCACTGTCAGTTCAGTGTATTTATTTCCACTCTCATCGGCGAAAGACATTTTCTGAGGTCCCTCTGAGTGGGTTTCACTTTGGGATAGAGGGAAATTTGCCATTCGGCAGTTTTTGTTCTCCTTCACAGAATAAGAGCCAGGCTCTGAATGCAAAGCGACCTGGCTGGAAGCCAGGCACACAGGCAGAGCAGTATTCATGTATTTTTTATTACAATACAAAAAGAAAGTCAAGTTATATAACACGGCCCTTTGTAGTGCAGCTTTCTTGTTTTAATCTGTAACAGATAAGAGGAGAATCGTGTCCTCCTTTAGGACTTCATATGGTAAAGGATGGCTGACAGCTGAAGTTGCAAGAAGTCACCTGGTGTCCGGCTCCTGATTTTAGTGTCAAGATGAGCTTTTCTTGCATGGATGTTAGGTATTTTGTCCAAATGCATGACCAAACCCAAACCAGGATTTGCTAAAAAGGAGCCTCTATCCTCTTACTAAAAGCAGAATTAAAAACCACACTATATGAAGTGAACTCAAAAACACAACTGGATTGGTTGGACAGGTACAAAAGGATTAATCTCAACAGCAGCATTAGGATGTTTCCAACTCGCAGGAGGGAGGGAGGGAGTCGATGGCTATTTTACGTCAGGACCCCGTGGGCACTGTGTGCCGCTCTGGAGAAGGCACTGGGGGTTTGATGGGACCCTGACAGTGGCAGATGACACGTGCTGAGTTCCTTCTAGGTCTGTAAGATGGTCCAACGCACCCTGAAAGAGCTGAGCTATTAATCACAGTCCTGGATGCTGACATACACAAAGAGGGTGGAGGAGGAGTACGGATCTCCATTCTTGGTCAGAAGGTGAATGTGGCGGTAACCTGGAAAAAGGGACACAGATGGAGAGTGGCCTTTGGTCCTGTCAGAAAGACATTTCCTAGCATTTACCAAGACCCTGCAATGACATTTCCCTGTTCCTGAAAGCTCTTTGTTCCCTGTGCCCCACAGAATAGGTAGGTCAGAGAGGCATGGCTTTGGGCACTGGTAACATAACACACCCAAGGCCACCGGTGACAAGGGGATCCCTTGCCCTGAGCCAGAGTTCAGCAGCTGCTTAATAAGTCATCTGTCATCTTGCTCAGACCGCAGAGCAAGGACAAGTTCTAACCCAAGGTGTGGTGGGCTCTGGACCTCCTATGTAGGACACTAGAGATCCCAAAGCAGTCAGTGGGTGTATGTAATGGTGAGCAGGGCCTTACCTTGCTTCAGACTGGTGAAGGGAACAGTATACTGCCCAATGAAGTCGTTCTTGGTTGACACGTCAAAGTCTTCTACCACAAATCGGACCAAGGCAAGCGCAGGGATCTCTATGTCAAATATAAACTCTTCATTCCAGTTTGGGTTGAAGCCTGAACCACATAGACAAGGAAGGAGATTAGAGCTGCTCACAAACAAGGAGGGAGATAAGAGATGTTTACAAGCAGGAAGTGCTGAGAATGTTGCTCGCAGTATTTATGAATACACCTGGTATTAATAAATCCTTCAGCTTAGGCTGTTCACTGTCAACCTCAGCACTGCATCTACAGAAGGCAGTGAGAAGCAGAAGGGGGCTGAACTCAGCCTTGCTCCAAAAGCTCTCACTGGCTGACACATGCATCTTAGTTTGCCATTAGACCAGCAGAAACATTTTATTGCCCCACACCAATCACAGAATCATAGAACATCCTAAGCTGGAAGGGACCCATAAGGATCACCGAGCCCAACTCCTGGCTCCACAATGGACCACCAAGAGGGAGCAGAGAGGAGAACTATACCTTTGTGTTATGACAGCTTTCTGGGCCTTTATGCCTCACTGAGTGCTCAAGGTGCACCCATCCATCATAATCCAGTGCCTCAGTTTCCCTGTCTGCAGTGAGGAGTGCCTGATTATAGAAAGCATCATTAAGACTAGGGACAAAATGGTTTATGCCACCTTGCATAATGGCAATTTCTGAGACAGCCAGACTAGCCTCACCTCTGTCACAGGTAAGGAGCTTCTGATCCAGACTCACAATGAAAACAAAGCCATGATCATCATGTCAGGTGAGAGACAAAAAAGTAAACGCAGTGCTTTCCCTCTGGGTCATTGTGGTGCTCCCTGCAGTTTCAACAAACCACTCCCCCGAAACAAACAGAAGAAGAGGACATCCTGTTTGAAACTCCACTGCCATCAGCACACCCTGTGTGCAGCAGAAGCTCAAGGACAGCAAAACATCGACTCAAGCCTGCTGGTCATGGAGGGTTTGTGGGTGATGCAACAGGAGGCAGAGATCCTTCAGCTGGCCCTGAAGGCTCCAGGTAGGTCTGCAAATAGTGCCATAGCAAAATACCTGTGCTGTATTTTATTTGGGCTTTCATGGGATTAAATTCAAGGGACTGCTCACATAAAACACATGTGTTCCTGATCCCACTGATCCTTGGAAAAAAAGAGTGACTGGTCCCATGGGAGAAGAAATCACAAAACTGAAAGGGAAGTCATTAGCCCTAGGACAGGAGATTTAATTGTGCTGGTATCCCTAGGGGATTTTCAGCCCATCTCAGAGCCACAGTGAGACACCAAGAGCTGCCGAGCCTGCAGGTTCCACCCCCTTTGGAGCTCCATGCCTGCACAACTGGGGCTTAACCTGCATCCACAGCCCATTGCTTCAGCCCCAGCACCATCAAACCCAGTGAGCTGCTGAAGCGTGGTCACAATCAAGACTTCAGCCCATTTGGAAAAGCAAACCCATCTCTGCAGCTGGCCCTTTCCAACACTGACAGTTTACTTCTCACTGGGTAACTCTCCCTCCAGAATCCTTCCAGTATCCCTCCTGCCAGTCACAGGCTGACAGTGGGGCCAAGTGAGTTGAGCAGCCCTCAGAAATAGGCCTGGTCTCTCTAAAATGCTCCTTACACAGCCTTCACTCGAGACATTATAAAAATGGTCGTAGGCAAAGGAAATGACCGTGAGCTTTTTGGGCCAGACTTAGTCAAACAGGAAAGGAGGAAAAGGGAAACAATGTTAGCAGGGAGGAAAATATTCGCTGCTTTTCTAGTTCTTGGCTCTTATTCCATGCACAAAAGCCATGCCTGTGTACATGTTGGTGATTTCTCAGACTCCTCTTACCTTGGTTATTCTCACAGAAGAGAAAACTGAACTTGTCCTCTACTGTTGCTGAAGGCCACAGTAATCTGACTTGCATGGCATGGAGGAAAGCTATGCCATGTTTGACCAAGAGAAATGTGGTCCATGGGGAGGTGAAATATCTGTGCGACTGTGAAGAAGGAGCCTGGCTCTTTGAATCAGCGGGCTTACAGTTTTCTTCCCTCATCTGCTGCTTTGCTGTGAAATGCATTAATTTAGCACCGGGGATGTTCTGACCAAAAGAATGAGCAGATGCAGTGTCCATGCCTTGTGAGTAGGCTCTGAGCTACAGGAAATGTTCTGCTTTTGCTCAGACTACATATGAGAAGAAGCTGAGAGAGCTCAAGCTGTTCAGCCTGGAGAAGGCTAAGGGAGTTATTATTGCCATCCTCCTCTTTCTCCATATAAAGAAGATGGACCCAGATTCTTTTCACACAAGCACAGCAAAAGCATGATATTAACAGGCACAAATGGCAAAAGTGAATTTCTGATTAAGTACAGATCTTATTTTATCCTAAATCAAAGACTGGATCACTTGCCCAGAGAGTGTGGGCAAATGCCATCCTTTGAGATAGTCTGAATTCATCTGGGTAACATGTTGAGCAAATTGAGCTAACTTACAGGTTGGTCCTTCTCTGAGCAGGATTTGGAATGGACAATTCTATAGTCCCTTGCAACCACACTCTTGTGAGTTTGTAGCTCTTTCAGAATAAAATTATCCACACCCAGTCTTTCTGGGAAGATCTTGAAGGGATCCTGTGTGTCCCAGGTCAGATCCAAGTGCGTGGAGGTAAAGAAAGCACTTCCAAATCTCTAGCTCTGCAGATCTGGCAGCTAATCTCAAAACGACTCAGCTGGATGATGTTGTTTTGAAGGCAATTTCTGTCTCCAAACAACCCGTAAATAAAAGAGATGGAACAACCCCTGAAACAAATGCCCTATGTGGACATCCATCTGTTGTACAGCTAGGGTCCCCATACTGCACCAGGCCATCATCACCTAGTGTATTTAATTTGTGTGATTAAATTTGGATGTATCTGGGCAGGCCACAGGGCAGCAGGTCTTGATGAGGAAGATGCTGCTATATGAAACCAAAGGGTTACAGCCCCAGGGCATCACAGCATGGAAGAAAACCCCTTACCATTATTTTCAACGACTCTGGTCTGCTTCTTGTTGTTATCCTGTTGGACACCATGGATCTCAATTGTCACCCTAGGATCAACGATGGAGTTTTTGCTCTTGTTTACTTTGGGCAGCTGCTGACCAGAGATGATCTGCAGAGGAAACAGAGCAAAAGATCAGGATGCCAGTAAGAGAGAGTGATTCTCTCTCTTTCTCCAGGACTACAGAACCTGTTGCTGGTGCTAGTCTTTCATAGCCAGCATCAAGACACTCTTCAGAGGAAGCTTTAATGATCTAAAGCATCTAATGAAATACTGTCAGGAAAAAGGCAACTTCTCTATCTCTCCCCCACATAATTGGGTGATACTTGGAAACAACAATGCTGAATGTTGATTGCGTGTCTATAACACGACTGTATGTTCATCTGTAGTAAATACTGTCAGTTACCTCTCCTGCTGCCAAACATTACACATGTGCTTGGAGAATGAGAGTCCATGCAGGACTGAGAAAGACACCAGCAGTGGAAAATGAGTAGTTAGGATAACATTGTCCATGTGGGACCAGAAAAAGGAGAAGGTACAACCTACACTCCCCCAAAATGGATGCTACTGAGAAAATTTTCTGACTTCTATTCTTACTTTAAGTAGAAGCTTCTTCTTTGTCCCCCATGTTCCTTCTGTGATGGATTTTGGATTGAATTTGGTTTGCTCATCCCGGAGGAATTCCGGCTTTAAGACATACCCAGAAAACCCATTGTCCTGGAACTGGCCCTGGTAAACATCCATTTCTGTGCCTCCTGTCTGGAAATTTAGGGCAACTGCAACATAAATAAGCTCAGTCACTTTCAGATAAATCAATAGGAGTCTTTTTCTACCAACTCTATTCACATGAAATTGCACTTCATGGACATAAACATTGACTTTTCCATGCTTCATAGAGCATTCATAAGCTCTGCCCCTCACAGTCTGCTTGCCCTGAGGATTTCTTCCATTCATAGATGTTAGAAGCTGGAGAAGCCATTATGGCCATCTCAGTCATCCTCCTCCTGCCTACTGCAGGAGGGTTGAAAAATTGGTCAAAAAACGTCCTGCATTGAATTTTTTTTGTCATCTGATCAAACAACCGCATCCTCTAGATAAACCCATTAATTAAAGCAAAGCCACAAATCCTTCTCAGGTCATTTCTCTGCCTTCTTAAAGTGCAGGAAAAGCTCTCCTAGTAGTTGCAAGAGCTCATCTCTTCCAATGGTCACTGAGCCTCTCTACCTGTAATTGGCCTGGAATTGAACATTTACCTCAGCCAAAGCCCCACTGTGGCCAGGTCATGACTAACATGGCCAGCTTAACCCTCTCCACACTCCCCGTTGCACCCACCAATCTGGCAGCCGACGTTCCACAAGTCAACAGGATTGTAGTTGGAAGAATCTGTCCTCCAGCCTGCAGGGTATATTCGGCTCAGGTGCCTGATGTTATGAAGAATAAAACTGTTTCCTACAGAAAATAAGAAGAAAAAGAAGAAAATGGGGGCTACTTTTTCTTGATGCTGCTGTCTATAGGGCTTCTCTGTCTAGTCTGGCTGAGTGTGAACTGCCTGCAGAAAATACCCTTCCTGGTAACAGCCTGTGACCTATGGCTTTGGGGTGTTTCATGTTTAATCACCACTAGCTGTCACTTTATGGAGGACTGGGACATAGAATGGCCTTTTGACAAGGCAGAACATACATACCAGACTCCTGAGCTAGTTTCAGAGCTTTGCTCTCTGTGAACGATGACATCTCATAGAAAGCCCGAGGGTGGCTGGGGTCTTCAAAGCCATTGAAATGAACACTCTTGCAGTAGACAACTGTGTCTGACAGCTCTTTGGCCAGCTTGAGGGTGTCACTCTAAAAAAAGAAGCAAGAGGAACAGTGTTTTCTCTACAAACCCTGGGTCTACTCTGTATCATCAACTGGAAAGGATACCCACCATCAGCACCCAATGGCAACCCCATGCAGATACAGGGTGGTAAAGGGGCAGACTGCCCTTGCTGTGTCCCTTACCCTGCACAGAGAGGGCTAATCCCTCCTCTCAGACCATCATGAATAACAACTCTGCTGTTACCTACACAGGTAACAGTGTGGGCACATTTCACCAGCCCCTGGCCTGTCCAGTGATATCACTGACTTCCTGAATGAGAAAGATGGTTTGACACCCTTGTGCCTCACACCTTTGGCTTTTTTATCTTGAACTAGGAAGTTCTCACAATGCTTTGGTGCCAACTACTCCACAGCCTTGATTACAAGTGAAGTGAGTGCCACCAGTTCCCACCAAATGCAAGAAAAGAAAATTACAGTCTTCAGAATCATACACACTGTTGACTACAGATTAGAAAAAGAAATAAAACCCTCAAAGGGTAAACAAATCAGCAAAGGAAAGCATATATCAGACTAGATTCCAAGGCAATATCAATCAATTTTGTCATCAGTGGGACTGAATTAATTTATGTCATCTATGAACCTGATCCATAAGGAATATGGCCTTCACAGTGACCTGCAGTCTGAAGAAAAATGAATGCCCTCACAATAGGGAGCAAAATACTAATAAAGGTAAACCTTTTTCCCCCAAAACAGTCACCCCATTGGTAAACTGACACCCTCTTCCCATAGTTCTTTCTGCTGCACAAGGTCATCAAAACATGGCCAGTGAGGGTGTAGGCACATTCCAAGATGTTACCAGAAAACCATCATAGTCGGACAGCCTTGCAAGATCTCCACGCCTGTGCTTAGCTGAGAGCATATTAGAAATATCTTTCAATTTCTACTTTTTTTTCCCAGTCATGTCACAAAGCCCATCTAGAAAGTGGTTTGCCAGCATGAGACGTTGGATTGGCTAACAAGATCAGACTTCCTGATGCAGGATTTCCATACCTTCTGCAGTAGACAAAGATCTACTTTATAGCTTTCCTGCCACTCCAGGTCTAACCCTCTCAGGGATTCAGCTACTTCTTTTACTTACCTTCCCTTTCTGCTGCACCTCTGTCTTCACAGATTCATCTTCCATTTCAGCCGCTTCATCTTCATCAGAGACATCCTCAGCCTCCAGGTTGTTGTTCCCATTTGTCCCAGTGGGGTCTTCCTGTCTGCTCAGCTTCTTGCCTTTCACAAGGATCTTCCCTTTCAGTTGCTGCACAAGGAAAAGCAGGCAAAGGTGATTAGCAGATTGTCCCCTGGCCTTGCTCCTTTCAGTGAAGTCAGTGGGAGATTTGTTGCCACATGGATGTGTTTGGTACTGCTGGCTCTGGAGGGTGCTGCTTATACCAGAAAAGCACAACCTCAGATTTAGCCAATATAACTCTGTGTAATGTGTCCCCTCTTCTTTCAGCAACATCCTATATCTGCCTCTTCCACCAAAAGCAACAAACCCCTCTGCTCTCAAATGACAGGACCGTGGAAAACCAAAAATCTTTTTTAAAGCAACACTATTCCCCTATTGTGGGTGCAAGCAAATTGCATCGTGTCTCTGTGGAGACCAGCCCAGCTCCTCACTCACTGGCTAAGCTGGAGATGAAACTTGATTTGAGCTGAAATTTGACACTGGCACATGAGGCAGTAGCCAAGAACATTTTTCTTCAGCTACCACAAATGATCTGTTTACTTTGAGGAACTTACTCTGTCACTCAGAAGCTGCACAAAGGCAGCTGGGAGGAGTGTGCTGTGGATGTTAAGAAGCAATGTCCAAAATCTGTGTGCTTATCCACTTTAACCACTTTACCAGTTTTAAATAAGCTGACAGACACAGACACATGTACATACATGCATTTGCTCCATCTGAATTTGTTCCCCTTCATGTGATATGAAGTATTTCTAGCCTGAGGGGAAAGACATTAAGCTCATCAGTTCGGCTCTGTTGAGCAGATTCCTTGTCTTAGGAAGAAGTATTAGCAGAAATGCTCAATAAATACTCAACAAGTAGACCATAAAGCTATTCCAGTAGCCTGTGGCAAGCCCAAAGTGGAACACAACTAAGAAAGTAGGAAAAGCTACAAGCACGCTGGAGTGCACTGAGAACATGGAGCATGGTGGAACTGATGCAACTCTTTTACTTCCTTATGTGCCTTTGTAAACCATACTGCCTTATATTTCCAGAAGTGCAGCTCCATTGCTTTCTCACCTTTTCTGCTGCACACCAAAGCAAGCTCAGCTCTGCATGTGCAATACTTGTGACACATGGCTTTGGTCCCTTTGGAAGTCTGTGATCTGGGACAGGGCACCTGTCTTCAATGAAAGCACCGTTCATTTTATCAGGAGCAAAGCTGTTACAGAGTAGTTTAAAAGGTCTGCACACATGCATTCATTTCACCTGAAAGCTTCTTGACTCTATTAGTGACCTGACAGCCACTGCTAGGTTTGATTTCCAATGTTCAACTCAGTGGTGCTGGCATATTAACAGAAGCCACCTCAACAAACTTTCTGTGCCTTCGACGCCTCCTTTAGAGTCAACAGAGAGAACTAACACCCCTAGGATGTGATTAGACAACTGCCTGGGAGGAGGTGGACTACACCTCCAACTGCCCTGATTATACTAACTAGCTCATTAGCAGGCCAAAGCAATGTGCTCAACTACATGGATACACAAGGGCTAACTGCCACACTGCATTCTGCTCTCAGGATGAAGATACCTATCAGATGTCAGAGAGATGCAGTGAGGATTAACACATTCACTTTCAGGAGGAGATGTGCAGACCAGATGCACCAACTCAAAGCACTGTTCCATTTGCAGTTGTCTGTCAGGGCAGCTGAGCTGAGATACTGCAGGTTTTTACAATGAGCAGCATCAAAGGATGAAAAGTCTCCAAAAAATGGGGAAGGAACACATTACAAAGGGAGAGATCTCAGGTCAGCTGTGCTGAGCCCTGCCTTGCTGCTGCTATCCTGGATGTGTGGCTCAATGTGATGTTGAATGGGGCACTGGGCACAGCAGTGGATGTGATCCATGGGACAGATGTTGGGTGTGGGATTGCAGAGCCCCAGTCACTGCACTGGGGTGCTCATGGTCCAAAGGGTCACGCAGTAAGGCTAATATATTCAGCCCAACCCATTCACATGGTGAAGGGTGTCCAATACCAAAAAGCTGGAGGGGTCTGGAATATGCCTGGTATGCTGAACTAACATTCAGCATCTGGTTTAGTTTCATCCTAAGAATAGGTTTTTGCATCATTTCTAGCTGGTATGCATGGACAGGGGGAAAGAACCCCAGCAGAGCCCTGGGCAGATCAGGAATTAAGCAGAAAGGCCTGCAGCAAGCAATCAGCAGCAAAGATTGGAGTACCTCTTCCCTACAGCCCTGGCACTGACCTGAAGCTTTCCTGGAACTTTTTTGTGGCTTTTGGCTTTTTATCCTATAGGCCTTTAATTCATGACTAGGACCTAAAGAGAGAAGCTTGACAGAATTATTTGGACACTTTTTGTAGCCCAGTACTCCATTCCTAAATAGAACCCAATGAATGACACCTGCCCAGGGCTGTACTGTGCATTGGTAGCGTGACTACAAACTGTGTTATCTTCCTTTAATTACTGACGTTGCACTGCTAACTCATTCTGCTCTGCCTGCTTTTATTTACAGCCCTTCAGCTCTTCTCCCAGAGGTATTTTTCCTGTATTTTTTTCTAAGAAAAAATATATTACACTCTCTCTGGCTTCCCCATGCCAGCTTCACAAGGAAGTGGAAAAATCTAAGGGGTTTCTGCTGTTTTTTTGTTCTTACTGCTTCGGTTTCAATGTGTTTTCCACAAACACACTGTTCTAGTTCACATGGCAGGAAAACAGAGGAAAAGTAATAGAAGAAAAAGGATATGTGTTACTACATTGGTATTTTGCCTCCCTTTAAACTAAATGGATCAGTCCCTCCATTGGAGCAGATCATCCCAGATCCATTCAGTAAAGGTAGATCTGGGCTTTTCTGTTCCAGCGGGAGCCACGTGTCCACCTGGGCAAGCAGAGCAGGAGGTCAGGCAAGCACAGGAATGGGAAAAAACATCTTTGGGAAGCTGGGGTCATCCCCTTAAACACAGATCACACATTTCCTTCCCTGGTGTTTCACTTTTCTTTCTTCATATCATCCCCCGGTCACAAGGCGGTGTTTTGAAAGGCTGTCAGCAGCTTTCCCCATCCTACGCTGAGGATAAATAACAAACCAGCACGTAACACTGAAAACGCTGATTTTCCAACTCACTTAAGAGCCTGCAGAGACCTGCCTCCATGCTGGGTGTAACCTCACCGGGGAAGAGTCACTTCTGAAATGGAGGCCACTTGTCTGTGCCAGTGCAAAGGTCTCGCTGAAGCAGCAGCATTAAAAATTATGATTCATCCCAATTTATTGCACTAGTGCCGAGGGACCAACCCGGATCAGCTTCCCTCTGCACCAGGCATTGTATCAAGTGAGGCACAACATTCCCAAAAAAAGGGGAAAGTCAGAAAAGGAAATGAGGAAAAGAGAGAAGGAGAAAAAGTAGAGAAGATAGATAGAATCATAGAATCACAGAATTGCTCAGGTTGGAAAAGACTTTCAAGATCATCGAGTCCAACCAAATCCAAGATATTTGGGGTGGCTCATTTCCCCCCCCTTTTCTCCCCTGCTGACTATCAGCTTTATCCTACCCACAGACTCCTTCCAGCCCTGGCTAGCCCTTCTCCAACTCTTGGCAAATGATTTCTTTAGCAACGAAATGCGATATCAAGGGAACGGCAGCCACTCACACAGCAGTCTGGTTCTGAAAAGTGCTCAGGAGGGAAGAAAGAAAGAAAACACAGACACAAAGGGTGGAAACAGATGAACATTTTGGCTTCTTTTTTTGGAAACAAAGTGTTGTTTTTTTCGTACGAAGATTCCATTTCCTTTTTTTTTTTTTTTTTTTTCTAATTACCAGATATTCTTGCAGTGCTACAATATGAGGGCTGATGATCTCCTTTCCCCTGCAGGGTCCAAGCTCAGCTCACTGCCTCACAGCTGCCATAATTCATAGGAATCACAGTGGAACCTGTCCTCCAGGCAACCTCCCACCTTCCCTTGTCCTCCAAGGATTCTTCCATAAGCCCCTCCACACTGCCATGCCAGCCCAGGCCATTCTCAGTGGAAGGATATCTCATACTTAACCCAGTTTTAGGCCACTTGTGCTGCTTTTCCCCTTGGGTTTTAAGGGACAAATAATTATAGTCGTCCTTTCAGCCCTCATGACTTTCTCATCAGCAGCCTGGGTTTCCACAGCAAACCCTCTATGTTTCAGAGGGTTGGCCATATTCAGTTTCGGGGTGTGGGAATAGACACAAGACAGATCCTCAGGACTCAGCTCCCTTGCATTCCCTCCTTGTGGAATGAAGGATGCCACCATGCCTCAGTAAATAGACCAGGAATGTCCTTAGTTCCTCAGGGATATCTCCTCTGAGTCCTTACACAACAAACAAGAAGCAGTTCATTTTGAAGTTTATGTGCACAGGGTATTTTTAACAACTATTCCTGTTTCTTATTCTACCACTGTCCCCAGGCAAGCTCTATTTGTCAGCGAGTATAATTCCCACTGGTTCCCCAGTTAGCACCCAGCAAGAACAGACCTCTCTTGTCCCACCTTCAGAGGGCAGAAAGTGCTAGGAGTGGCCTTGCTCACCTCTGGAGAGGGGAACTGGGATTTGTTTCCATCAATCGGGGCGACCAGGAGCATGTCCTGCAGGATCGTTGTCATGTGCTGAGCCATGACTTTCTGCTGGTCGAGGCTGCAGTGGTTCTCCAGGGAGATGATGACAGGGTATGGTGAAGTCTAGGACAAGACAGTAACATCCATCATAATTGAACTCTGAAATTTTACCATCCTATAGCAATTAATATAAATTCCATTGTTGTTTTCTCTCTCAGCAGCAGGGATTAAAAAAAAAAAAAAAAGGACAAATTCAGCTGTGCACTAGCTACTCAGATCTATGCTGATGCCTTGCAGAAGTGATGATCCCATGGACAGGGCAGCAGGCTGGATCAGGATTCCTTCGGTGGGGCAGTTTGTGAAGCTCCCTGTGCCTCCATTCTCTACTTGCACTGTCATAAGAGAACCTTCCTAAGTCAGGGGAAGACTGGGAAAGGAGGCTTGCTCAGATCCTTAATTGACCTGAATCCTTCCTGCATTCACACATAGGCCTGACCTGGTTCTCTGTGGCTCCCTAGATGTTTTGTGTGCTGAAGGCATCACCACTGTCACTGCTTTATTCACTGCTTTATAGTTCCAAAGAAAACTTGGTACTGGGTCTCAAGTCGAGTGCATTGAAGAAAAATAGCAGAAAGTACAGCCAAGAATTTTAAAGGCTGCTAGCATTGCCACTTAAGAATCCAGACATGCTTGTTCCTTTTGAAGCAGAGTAGAAGCAGTCCTTTGCATCAGTCCCTCCAATAGACACAGATATAATTCCTCCAATGTAAGAACAGACCTTGAGGCATCAAAGCCAAGCAAATCAAGGGTTTTCTTGCACTTCCTATCATGTATGTTCAAGAAATTGGGGATTATTTTAATTGCAGAGGGGTCCAATATCTAGCTGTGCTAGCACAGACTTAAACTTATCCCAAGGCTGTGCCCTGCCTGACCAGAAACTTCCAGGAATGGGTCTGTTCAGAAAGCAGAACCTGGATGCCTGGACGAAGCACATATCTTCTACCCACAGAAAAGTTAAGGTGAAGTATTCAATTTTAAGCTCTCTGCTGGGAGAGCAGAGATCTGCTATCAGTATAGCATGAGAAATCTTAGAGAGTCTCACGATTCCCAATCCTTACTTTGAAAGCATAGTTCTTGATGGCCTTAATGACATCACAGAAGAGGATCTTGGAGGTGAGAGTGTAGCCATGATAAATGATAGGTTCCGAGTTAGGGCCATCCCAGCAGTCCAGCTCCACACAGCGACAACCTTTGGTGAGGGCTCTGGAAACAAAGAAGGGACCTGGTTGGGTTTTAAACCTCCTGCTCAGGATCAGGCACAGGTATTGCCTGGGAAGACAGATAGGAAGTTCAGGGTTCAAGGCAGAAAGTGGATCAGTCACAGGTATTGCCTGGGAAGGTTGATGGGTAGTTCAGGGATCAAGGTAGAAAGGAGAGCTTGGAAAAACAGGAAAGCAGATGGAGAAAGGATGGGATCAGGAGGGCCCAGGGGCAACAGAGAGCTGAAGGCTGAACAAGGAAGGCACAGTGGGATCTAAGAAAAGAGGTCATTGAAAGCCTCTTAAGAAGGAGACACAGTAAGTGTTAGGTGAGAAAGGACATTCATATTTGTGTCCCAAGACTTTTCCCAAAGATGGTGAAGAGAAGAAATGTACTGGAAGAAAGAAAGTCAGCTACAGAAGCCAGATCATGAAGCCTGGATGACGTGCGTTCTTCACCTAGATCTGATAAGATCTGATAAGATCTGAGGGACGAATCCTCCAAGCTGTCAGGGTGGGAGGTGGGGGAACTTAATTACATCTGGGGAGACTGCTGAGGGCCAGTTTCCCAAACTGAGTCTACAGACTGAATTCCCATTTGAAACTCCTTCCACATATCCATACTTCTATTTTCATTTACTTTCAAATCAAAGTTCCTTATGACAACTTTCTTGGAGGTGATCTTGCCTCTTTTATGCAACTCCCAATACATTTCAGATAACACAAGTCCTTTAAATCACTGCAGCAAGAATCATGGATTTTTTTTATTTTTATTTTTTTTAAGACAAAAGTAATTCCATAATTTTAAGATACTGTAAGAGGAATTCAAATAGCTACTTTCAGTAACTTGTACCAGGTTTCACTCTCTGCTCCCTTAAGCCTGGGACTTGAGATAGTCGCTATTTTATTTTAGTCGCTGTTTCCTAGTCTGAGGATGAGAGGTTGCCTCTTGGCTCTCTTGTATCTGGCAGTATAGAGGTCTTATAAGATGACTTAAGCTCCTTACGTCTTCTATAAAACACAAACAAATCAACATCTCACAGGTACTTAAACACATTCACACATAAACACACACACACGTACATTACCTGATGTAGGCTTCTGTGCTGCTAGGGCCTGTAAGCTGGTCATCCATTAGGTAGGTATTGTGTGAGGATGATACAAAGTAGTGACTGAGAGGTTGAGTCATGTCCTGGTAAACTTTACGGTGGGAGGTGTTGAATATATTCCCATCATCAGACAGCAAGTACATCAGGAAACCATCTTTGGTCATGGCGTTACGCTTCTTGGCTGCCAGATGAATAGACAGAAACCCCATGCTTAAAATTTGACACAGCCAGGCTGTGCTGTCATCTTCACCATGGTGCCTGCTGATCCCTGATGGTCTCAAAGGTAGAACATGTTCCCTAGGCACTCAGCTAATAGTAGAGAGATTTACGCTGTTCAGATGACAGTGATAGCTTCGTCTGTCTGAAAGTATTTCAAAAACCCCTTCACAAGCAGAACACTTTTGGCATTTACTATCCTTGATAAGACCTAAAAAGTGCTGAACACAACACTTACCTCACCTGCTTGTAGAGATCTACAGTACAAAAATCTCCATTTAAGCACTTCAAGTCTCTTTCATACCAACACAGAAATTGTCAGACGATAATTGATGTCTCCCTATCTTGAGGGACTGAGCTAGATTTCAATCCAGCCCTCAAATCCAACATCTGCAAAGCATTATCCCTCTCCTGAAGGTCTACCAGGACAGTGCAGAGAGCATATGATCTTGCACCGATTTCTTGAACATGTCCTCCAAAATGCCAAAGTCTGTGATTTCTGAATTTCTGAGCAGAATGACAGTTATTGTGATTGCTTTCCTAAACAGCTCTCACCTTCTTGCCTATCTACTCAGAGATCTCACCTTGTGGGTTTTCATGTGCCCATGTATAAAAACATTTATCTCTTTCTCTGTTTTGAAGAACAGAAACATTGCCACATTGCAAGCTATGTGATGACAGATGTGATATCTGAATAAGCCATCAGAGCTTTTCCCACAGGAATGCCACTGCTTCCTAACTAACTCTAGGTCAACCCCTATTCTGGCTGCTCATAGTACCTAAGCCAAATATGAATGTAAATATTTCCCAGGTTCTCATTTCCCCTTCTTTTCTCTAGCTGCGGGTGTTCCCCTAAAAAATTGCTGTTTTAGAAATGGTTTCAAAGACGAAACAATACAACAGGGCTGCAGAAGCAAGCAATAGCAAAGCAATTCAGAGTTCATCAAGATAGTAAGATTTTAACCCAAACCAAGAAGGGTTTACAGCTTACCTCGTTCACTGGGCTCATATTTCTGAATTAAGGGAGGAGCAGCAACAACAGGATCATCTTCTTTCTGAATGTCATGGAGGAACCTCACCAGGTTCTGGCAGGACATGAGCCCATCTGCATCAGAGTACTTTTGGAAGACTGAGTCTATTTCCTTTCTCTCTGTCAGTATCTTGTAAAATACCTCTATCTCATCATCCTCCAGAGCCTCTGTTTTGGACTTGTCACAGTGCTGTAAACGTAGAGGGGAGAAGGAGTGAAAACCTTCTTTCCTTCTGGCATATGCCAGCCGTAATCTGCACCAGGGCTACACAACGCAGAACACAAAATAATTGGAAAGAGTTACTGGCCAGTGAATGAGAAGCACAGTAAATGGTTCTCATTAATAAGGCCACTAGTCACATAATGGTTACAATTAGCATTATTTATTCATATTATCACTATGTTGAAGAGCACCAGGAATAGCCCTGAGCTCCACTGCAGTACATGCTATGCGAACCATGCATTAAAAGAAAGGCTCCTTACAATCCCAGCAAAAATCAAGGGGCAAGAGAAATAAACTTCTTGATCTCAAGCACTGTACAAAAACAACTGAAGCATCTGATGTAAAATCTTTGTAGGTAAAGTGGAAAGACCTTTCCCTTGATCCTAGTGGTCCGAACCTCAAGAGGCAATCAAGGCCAGTTAGCAGGACTGCTTGCAATGACAATATCAAAACTGACTTTAAAAAAATCCCTCTAAACATGTGCTTGTTTAGGTATGGAAAAAAAAATAAATGATCTTCTACCTGTGGAAATTTCCCCTTCTTCTCCAAACAAACAAGTTGCAAAATCCCCACAAAATTGTAAATCAGGTATCAGCTTCTCAAGGATGCAATACAAATTCTTCATGCCTCCATGCTTCACAATGGTTTTAACTTCTCTACTCAATCACAGCTCTAACAGGGCACCACAGCCAAGAACTTGGCTGACCAGCAGTTTAAGATGTGCAAGCTAGCACCTCCACACAGGACAATACCTTTTCCAGCAATAAATATTCCCAAGTTCAATTTTTCATCAGAATTTTCTTTTTCCTGTGTCAAATTCTGATAGGAATTTTGTTGTTTGTTCCTAGCAGAATGCCTTATAGAGAGGTGAGTAACTATTATTTTTGTTATCTCTGGTTTGTAAACCCCTGCAGTAAATACGACTGAGCAAAACAAGCTGTAATGGAAAGCAGGAGCCAATCTCAGGGGAATCATGGCAGGGAATGTTACATTACTTCAAAGTGTTCTTGTCGTAAATTGCAGCAGTCAAACCACATCCAGTTAATGCCTTGTAATTACGATGATTCCCTCTCTCCCAATGTCTGCAGCAAGCAAACAGACCCCCAGCACTGGTAAGACAGCCCACTCACATCTTACATTTCAGTTACATCTAAGAAACCAAACTTTTGCCATAGATGACAAATCTCCAACAGGATATGAAGTGCCTGCAGGACGTGGTTGCCTTATTTGGTTGTTGGCCTAAAGTTTTCTCTCCTTCAGATCTGAACTGGACACACAGCATGCGCTCCAGACCACACAGAAGAGGTTGCTGTGCATTTCGTTTCACCCTTGAAATGAACAACTTGCTACCAGATACCAGGATGTAGCTGAAATACAGCAACTCGTCAAACCAGAGCAATTTAATTGCTTTTTATCTTTGATCTCTTATAGAGATAGAGCTATTGACCCGGGTTTTATGAGCAAAATGCACATCTCAGTCTAGCTAGTCACCACGCTAATCTCAGCCTAACCCTTCCAATGATCCCAGCGATGGCCATAGTGGCTTTGGCAGTTGTCCAAGCAAGATGATAATAACAGACTGTTTGTCCTCATGCAGTACCTCCTCCAGAGTCTTTCACTACCAGTTTATGGCACACATATAAAACGAGACACAATGATCATGACATGTTGCGTTTCACAAACTGAATCAAGAGGAAAAAGTTCAACTTGTTCTGATTTCAGAATCCGTTGGTTAAAAGCTATGGGCTCATCTCAGGAATTGAACAATCTATGAAATGTTCAATACTACAGACACTTTGAAAATGAGTTTGAGCTGTTCTGGAACCATCTTTTCCTTGCTGCCTTCCATGTCTGTACGATCCTGCACTGTGGCTTTGGCAGATCTCAAGCTAAGTTGAGCATGATATTTAGCAGCTGAAAAAAGGTGTATAAGGAAGGAAACTAATGAAGACTGCAGGGATGCAATAAATGATAGATGTTCTTTAAGACACAACGTAGAAAATGATGATGTGACTCCTAGGAAGTCATTATAGCTAATGCACCTCAGTAAGTTTGTTCATTAGTTGCCAGTAAAGGCTGTAATGAACAAAGTACAAGAGCACTGGCATCACAGTCATATTCTAGGATGGATCAGATACACAGCGTAAAACTGGGCTCCTTCTGCTTGGGCTACAAGAGCTCCAAATCAGATTTTCAATTCAAAAAGCTGTGATCCAGCTCATTTGTATGGATCATGAAAAATGATTCCTGAATGAACTTTAGTTTGCCACCAAGAGTCAGAAGCTTTCAGATGCATTGGAATGAAGTGAGCAATTACAGGAGCTCTGCACAGTTTCTGGCTGCATAACATATGTCTCACTTAGATGTGTCTAAAATCTAGATGTCGACACAGAGTCATGTGGCAAAAAGCAAGAATAATGTAAGAACATGCCCTTAGCTCTCCCTTAAATCTCTTGGTTGCCCTTCCTTCCCATGACTAAATGAAGCAAAACTCACTAAGACAGAAAAGATCACCGTTTTAATATGCTGTAACATCTTATGGTCCATCTAAATTTAAGGGATATGTAAAATGAAAACATAATTGCTTAAGGATTCGGTGATCAAATAGAGTGAGACAGACTCTCCTTAAAGGCAATTCACCACACAAGAGATCTGAATTAACCTTTTGGAGGTTAATTTAGAGGGTTAATTAACATCTCCTCTTTCCCCTGGCTATACAGGAAGCTTAGAACAATTACAGGTCTAATAAGTGTACTTCTGACTAGCTGCCCACGTTTAGATAGGATGAATGAGGGCTTAGTTATTGCTTGGAGTCCTCAAGCAAAAAGAGGATTGAACTTTGGTAAATTTCCAATGGTGCTGCTCCCTTCTAAATGCTGCCACGTCTGATTCAGACCTTTGATGTCTGAAGATGTGTATGAGGTGTCACCTTTAGGATGAGGTGAATTACACCCTGGTCTACAAAATTGGATTGATGAACACCAATTGCAAAGGGAATATTAAGTGCTGGTGACTACTTCCAGTGTAGGTGCCTGCAGCGGGAGATATCTAAATTAACAAGAGAAATTCCAGATTTTTTGCTATTCTTCCATGGTCCTCCCAAGTAGAGAACAAACCATAGAATATGCCAGCCACGTTAGGCTGTATATCTTGGCGATTTTGCAAGTTGAAATTCTTCAAGATCTGCTGAGAACCTTCTTCCATTTCATAGAATGGCTTAGGTTGGAAGATCAGCAAGCTCGAACTCCCTGTCATGGGCAAGGTTGCCAGCCACTAGATCAGGCTGCCCAGGGCCCCATCCAACCTGGGATCCTGCAGAGTTACCAAAGAGACAGACAGCTCCATAAACCAAGGATTAGGAAACTTGTTCCTCCTTTGGGGAAAGGTCCTAGTGAGACCTTGCCAACCTCTGGTGCTGCTTACAGGAAGGAGTGTAAGGAGGAACACAGCCTGTACCTGCAACCACCCACATGTTTACCACTAATCAGAAAAAAACATTTCTGAAACTGTCCACCATTAATTCAAATCCTGCTTCAGATAAGACGGAAGTTTGGAATTTATCCAGGTGTTTTTTTTCTCATCTCGGGAGGAAGGCTTGTTTAGAGACACTAAGAACAGCAGAGAAATTTTCATCCCTATCTTCTGATAGGCTGAGCCAGGAAGCTGGATCTAGAGAAATGAGAACTGCACATCCAAGTGGATTGAACACGTCTTGGCCTATCAGAGCAACCACACTGGTTCAGGTAAAGGTGTAATGTTACATATCTTTCATCACTTTGTTTATCATTCTCAATTCACACTTTATCATTGTTTACACAGGTCACTGGGAACCCACCTTCTCTGAGATGATAAAGAGTTTGTGATCTCACCAAACTGATTTAGGTGGCTTTGGCATTGACACGTGGCTACAGCAGGCAGAACTCCTAAAATTCCTGAGACTCACAGTGCACTTGCATTTTGGCTTTTCCTTTTTCTCACATTATCCATGTCTGTGTTCTCTCTTTTCTGAGGCCAGGTAAAACTGTGTCTCAATAGTAAAGAAAGAACACCTTAACAGAGCTTCATCAGAAGCACTGTGCTATCCTAACTCAGTTGTTGGTGGGAACTGCTGAGCACTAAAAGCCAAGAGTACTTTCTTGGTACAAGAAAAGATACTAGAAGTTCACTTGACTTAGATCTCCACCCAATGCTGAAAGCAGTGGAAGACCTTGACCTCAGCCAACAGCCACTGCTTATCTGTTTGCTGTTGTTACCTGGAAAATCTGCTTGGCATGATAGTCATCCACTTCAATGTTCACTTCTTTCAGGAAGTTCTTGAGCTCTTTAAAGCTCATCTTGTTGTCTTTGTTCTTATCAGCTTTCCGCAAGCAGGTGTGAATCCAACTGCAGGATGATGTAAGGAAACCTCTCCAGGTCAGCGAGGTCTAAATACCACCCCTCTACACAGCACATGGGTAGGCAGACATAAATCTCTTGTAAAGATTCTGAACCACTTCTCCCTGCTGCTGTAAATCAGCATGCTCCCACTGAACAGCTTGCATCATCTCACCTTCTGCTCTGAAAGGGCAAAGCGATGCTTTGGCAGAAGCAAAATGCTCTGTAGTACAAGCAATCATGGCCCAGGAAAAGCTTGTCACCATCTGGCCAAGGCCAGATCAGTTCTATTTAACCCGCAGGAGTTTCTGGACACAGCCATATCACAAAACAGTCTGATTTCTCTTTTGTGGCAGAAAGTGCATCCTCCAGATGGGAGAAAGGAGAATGAAAAGATCTCCCAAGTATGGGCAACTGATCATTAAGAATTTGATAGTGCATCACGCTGAACACTTAACAGGGATTCTCTGAAATAAACATGAATAGTCCTCTATATTTATTCAGGTATTCATTTTCTACCTAAATGTCTGAAGAAATGTGTTGTGAATAAAACCAATCCGATCCTTACAGGTCTTGGCTTTCCCTTGTAAAACACAGTGTCTATTTCTGAATTGTACTGTGGCTGTGATAATAGTTCCTAAGAGCTCCGTATTTATTCACTGCAGTATATCCACGGATCTGGAGCAATTACTATAAAAATCAGCTTTACACCAGTTAATTTGAACTGGGTCTGCCACAGTCTTTTAAGTCCCCTGGGAAAATGTCAGGTGGTTGAGATAACTTGGAGTTTTAAACAAGCAAACAAACAAAAAAACAAATTAAAAAATGATAACTTTTTGCATCAAGCCAACTGTACCTCTCTAATTTGCTCTAACTATCAAATAACAAAGGCCATCCAGAGAAATATCCCATTTTTCCATATAAAAATTACTGAAATAACAGATTGCCATAAGCGCAACCTTTCATGACTTGCATAGGAAGCACTGCTCCAAACTCAATCCAGAAAAGATATAAATATGGATTTTAGCAAAATAAACCTCAGAAGTAGCAAACACCAGTGAGGGCACACAGTGCCATAACAGTTGATCTGAGTCTTTCAAAATCACCTCCAAAACGAGGCGACGAGTGACAGCCTATAGGGGCTGTAGACATAACTCTGAAAGAGGGTACTCACCAACAGCTACCACTGCATTCAAACATTTCCAAACACTTGGAAATATGTGTAAAGTGTTTGGTAGTTCTGTCAGTCTCTTGGAAAGCTGCTTTTTGTCTTTAAAAATCTTGGCATGTGCTAAACAATGACCTCACATTGCATCTCTTTTAGCCTGGTAATATTAATATTCCTCTTTTGTACACATGGAAATGAAAATAGAGGTTACATTTCCTCTAACTCCCAATGATATTCCAGGGTGCTGAATGAGGCTCTGGCTTGGAGCAGTTCCCCAGAAAACCAAGTTTGAATCATGAAGCTCCTACGTGAGCTCCTCCTGGGATGTTCTGCTGAGAGCACAACACCATCCACCCCACCAGCTTAGCATATGTCAACATGGTGCCAACAGCAAGGTCAGCCATTCCCACCCAACCCGTGTACTCCAGCTGCCCTTCACAGACTTCCTAAAATAACAGATAGCAGGAATGCACAACTCTAAGGAGTCAAGAGGAAACTGAAATTCTTCTTGTCTGATACAAACACCATTTTGCAGCCCTGGTTGTGGGTCTTCCTTTCACCTCACCTCGTCTATTTGGGCATGGGGGAACAAGGAAGAAGTGTTTCCATTCTGGTGTACCTCCAGGGAGAGCCTGTTTCTTGTTTTTAAAGGATCTGCCAGCTTCAGGACTACCAGCTTTGTATGAGAAACCAAAGAAGAATGACTGAAACGATTTGGCAGATATCCCAAGAATGTGCTTGAAAAGAAATGCTGCAGAACTTCTGGTAAGCTATTCCTAACCAGAAGAAAAGCTCATACACAAATCCCAGAAATGAAGTAGACTGTACCACTCAAATGAAAAGTTCCCTGTGTTTTCTGGTCTAAAGTCATCCCTGCACACATACCTGCAGTATTTGCTAAAAAACTTATGCCAACTTGTTGAGGGTTGAAGCTGAGGCTTACTAAAACACTACTGTGCAAGAACATCAGAAATACTCTTCAAGCACACAGAATTTTTATCTTATAGGTGTATAGGACTTTAAAGGACACATAACACACAAATTCCAGCCCCATGCTACCACAGGCACCTCTATTATATAGGAAGCCAAACAAACCCCACCTGCAGCAATCACAGTCTTTGCTTTCAATACTCGTTTTCAAAATCTCACTCATTCCTTATCTGCTTTGCAAGGTTTCTAAGGGTGGAAAAGATCCACTGCACAGCAGTTCCCAGGGATGGATGGGGGACAGGCAGGGGATGCAACACTTCTCCTCCACTGCCTCTTCCCCTTCTGTGCTCACAGATGCAGAGAACACTTCTGAGGTTTAAGGAAGATGTGAATAAACCCACGCTGCCAAGCAAACCCAGTGAAGATGGGCTAAATTTAAAATCTCAGGCTTTAATTAAACATCATCAAATTTCAAATGAGAAATCATGCTGTTCTGTAATTCCAGGTTACGTTAAACGACCTGAGACAATCCCAGATTGGAAGCCAGGACCACACAGTAATTACTCTTCCAGAAATACGGCTTGCCTACCAACCCCATTTAGCTCCAATTCTGCTTTCCAGAGTCAGAGAGGTACTTTTCCACGCTGGAAATTTACAGCTTTCTTCCCTTGCAAATGCTATTGTTATTTCCCCCTCACACCTTAGCAATCTGATTTCTTCTTACAGGGAAGTTTTTCAGCAATACAGCCTACTGACAAGTTCCAGGGGCAGGTTTCTGTGGCCCAGATTTTCCCCATATACCATGGAGTGGAAGCATCTTTCACATTCAGAAGGAAAACCAACAGAGTATAACATTTCCAACTTGCCTGGGAATTGCCCCTTCCACCATGAACACCATCATCAGAATTAGTGGAATCTGACTCCTTCAAATGAGCTGCACTCTGGTGGTGCAGGTGTTTATTAGACTCAGCATCACAGAATCACTAAGGTTGGAATAGACCACAGAGGTCATCAAACCTAACCAACAACCCATCCCTACCATACCAATAAACCCTCAGTGCCACAACTTCATACTTCAGAGAATCCACAGAAGAGTAAAGCCTGATGAAAGCTCAGCATTTATGTGCCATTTCCCTCATCATCAGTACATTATTACCCAGCAGGGAACCTACACAGAGGAAGCCTTGGCTGAGGGAAAGGCCCCCTGGTGCCTGCTCAGGCTCAGGCTCCAGCTTTGTGATTTTCCCCTGCTGACAACTTCACATCACCCCTCCTCTGCACGGATTCTTTGAAGTCAAACCAGGCATGAAGCTCACACAGCCTTCCCTCACTGCCAAGTGCTATCTGTTTTCCTCTCTGATAGCTGGATGCCTGTTTTTGTGAAGCTTCAGGCAGCTTAATGTTTCACAACCACCACTGCTCTGTCAAATCAGGGTGAAATCAGCCAGCAGGTTCATATGTTACAGTCAGGGCCTCGGATACACAGGAACTGCAGAAAACCCAGCTAAAACTACACCCACAGATAGACTGTTTTCATATGGATGCAATTAATTTACTGAGTGAAATTCAGCCCTGGGGAAAATTCCCTGTGAATTGAGCAAAGCCAGGATTTCATTCCATAACTAACTCACTCTCCTCATACAACTGACCCCTTTCCTTTCTTTCCCCTTCCTTTTCCTTTCCTTCCCTTCTTTCCCCTTCCCTTCCTTTTCCTTCCCTTTCCTTTCCCTTCCTTGTCTTGCTCTGTCCCTAGAGCAACTGCAGTCCCTTTCAAGGCAGAACTTCCTCCCATGCTGAGGCAAACAAGGAGTAATTTCACTCAAGTCAGTGGAGCAACCCTGGAGTAAACTTGGCAGACAGAAGAGGAGAATCAGTTCTCTCGCCTTATATTACTGCGAAACATGATAAACAGTATGGGCCTTTCATGCCTTGCCAAAAAGTGCCTGTCCTGGAGTTAACTGCAGTGCAAGTGAAACAGACCCCTGAAGAACACAAAAAATAATGGTTGTTTTATCTGGAGCACCCTGAAAGGAGCAATTCTTTGCTTAAGGAGCTCTGTGAAGCCTGAATCCACTCTTGTATGTATCACATGCAAGATTACACAGAAAAGAAAAAAAAAAGAAAAAGAAAAAAAAAAGCACTGGAAACCAAGGAGTTTGCCCAGGTACAAAATCAGTAAAATCATGAGAGATAACTCAGTGCCCGGGGCCAGTAGTAAAAAAGGGGGTTATACGACTAACTCCCCCCACAGAGAAAGACAAGTGCATCTTTGTGTGCAATTAATCGCTTTATAATGCAAAGGATACTGTTGGAGTTTCTCTTTCTGGTTCATGGAGTTGCTGTGGGCTATGATTTTCCCAAGGCCGCAGACCCAGTGGTTGGCATCATCCTCTGAACTTGCAATGAGGTCCAGGTTTTTCCGCTGGTCTTTGAAAATGATGGAAAAGCAGCGATACTCTGGTACATCCTTGGCGTATTTTTCCATACCTTCTGTTTTATGGCCTGACCTCACATCCCGAATATCTTCAATAGAGACTGTGGAAAGAAAACAGAGCTTGCTGTCGGCAGGGGTTCACTCACCCTTATCTCTGCCTAGTGATGGATTTTAAGAAATTACTCTTTTTCCTTTTTCTGCAACCTCTCCCTCCCACAGCTGGAGGATTCTCTTTATTTTTTCCAGCTTCCACAAATTCAATGCTAAAGAAACCTCAGATCAAAAGCAGCAAAATGTGCAAGAAACATAAAAACAAGTCAAAACTCTTTGTTTTTTTCACATGTTCTGTATTTAACAAAGAAGCAGAATTTGCAGGGGTGCCATACTGTGATATCATGTTTATGAGGCACCACTCACTGTCAAGACTTTGGGTCCGGTCCTTGAAGCATCCCTGACTTGATCTTTGCCTCTAAAGACCCTAGGATCATGACCAACATGATCTCACCCCATCAATCAAATAACCTTCAGCTCTTCTCCTCCCAGAACTGGAAACAAAGAATTCTAAAGGTCCACAGGAAAATGAGTAGTGACTTCATTAAAAGCAGGGCATGGACTGAAATGGTCATTCTTCAATTTGCAAAAAATAAGAAGGTAACACCTAAAATCCTATATACTCTTCTCAGCCACACTAGTCTAAACTGGGGAAGAAAAGACCAAAGACTTAGGGCAGTTTGCTGTCAACCATGCTCTACCCACACCTCTGCCAAAGGTCAATTTGATCCTATTTGCTGTAAGAAAGTAAAATATGGCTTTCAAATCCATTCCTCCCCATTCCCATCTCTGACCATCACTTAGTGCAAATGAGCCCTGAAGCCACACCAGGTTTGCCATGTGCACACACAGGGCCTTCAAGACACACTGCAAAGCAAAAGGAAGTAACTGAGACAAGCCTACACTGCTCTTCTCAATGAATTTGAAAGAAGTTGGTTTAAAATTATTCCTACCTCAAATTGTAAACTATGGGTAAAATCTATTTCCTTTGTCATGTAGGTATGAGATTGATTTCGTTCGTGCTTGTCTTTGAGGAGCTTTGTTGATAAGTAGTATGAGAATGTAAAATATTGCCACTACTCAGCTGAAAAAAAAGCAGCTTACACCCCCAAATCCCTTTTACCTGATCCTTCATTTAAATTGGTGCCATTTCACTGGCACAGTGCTCAGTTCACTCAAAGTCAACATTGCAGAAATAAACAACTCAGTGTCCATCCTGTGCAGTTATAGCATGTCTGCCCTGGGGCCACACAAAATTGATCGGATGCTCATTAGAATTTGAAATTCTTTTTTCCTCAGGGAGAAATGGCAATACTCAGCTGACGAGGTAAGAAAAACATCATAGACTTACAAACCCATTTATAATCTTCAAAAATTCGTGACTGTCCAAAACCAACACTTGACATTTGCTTTAAATTCCAACCATGTATTGGGGTGGTCCAACGACTTCCATAACACTTCGCTGACTTGGTTTCCATGCCAGAACATGCCATGAGACCCCTCCTAGAACTGGCAACGTTCCTTTCTGATGATAAGCAATTATCTTTGTGTGGTCTATTATTATCACTTGGTAAAGGCCAACACAACAGTGGATCAGACAGAGGGGAGGGCAGGAGAGAGTTAGGTTGGGTTGTGTTGGGATGAGATGGGAGGGGATGGGATGGGCTGCTGTGGAATTACATTATCTAGCCAACTTACTGTTGAGTGAAAGCTTATGGTTTTTGAGTGCTAAAATTATCTTCAGAAGAAGAGCACTGCAATTCTCTTACAGCTGGGCTGCTAGTGGAGAGCCTTGCTGCTGAATTTGCTCATTAACAGGAGAATGACAGGAATCATCAGGCAAATGACAGGAAGTGTACCTTAGGTAGCACAGTACGTCTTACACCTTTATGTAAGGGATGCTATCATGTTCAGTGGGATTCAGTCAAAATGTATCTAAAGCTTAGGCACCTTTCCACTAATGGGGGAAAAAAAACCAAAACACAAATGTTTTGTCCTATCTAGAAGCAAACTTTTTAGGGTGAGATAAATCAAAGCTTTAATCCGTGGCTACAGTGGATCCTAGATCAAAAAAGAAGCTCAGACTGAGCATCTCAAATGCAGATGTGTACCATGCAGACAGTCCATAAGTAGGTGATCCTCCTCCACTTCTGGTCTCTCTTGGTTAAGGCAGTGCAAGTGGAAGGATCATCCTGTTGTTCCTCATCACCTGCCAACTGCTCACCACTGCTTGGCTCATAAAAGTTATTGTCCCTTCAGACTGGCTAGTCTGCTAGTGCAATCAATCCCTAAACTTTGGGTTGGCAATGATTTAGTGTTTCCAAGACTAGAAAATCTGATGTTAAATATTGGAAATTTAGAATGTATTCTTTGGAAACCTTTATCTGGCAAAGCGAATCTACTGGAAAAAAAAAAAGAGAGCTGTGTGGGAGGGAAAAGAGATTGAAAACCTGTAGTTGGAAGGGCTGCCTTAATCTCCATGGGGTATATTACTGGGGAGAGGATGATGAAGAACATGAAGTTCTTTCATTCAGGAAAGGTACAAGGAAGCCTGAAGAACAACATGAGTGCCTACTGTAGTCACACAAGAGCCAAGAGAAGCTACCAATGCAGGAACTGTTAAAAAAAAAGCAGGGAGGACACTTTTTAAAGCTTTCCACAGTTTGGGCTTGTGTACTGCTTTTGTCTATCAATATAAAAGCCAAAACCAAAGGAGTCAGCCCAAGCCATCTGCAAATGTTATCTCTTTTCTGGAAAATCTTAGCCCACATGAATGCATTATCAGCTGCTCCTGGGCCGTGAGCATACTATATTAAGCAGTTCCAAACCAAGGAGAAATCAGAAATAACTTGGGGGACAGGTAAGTGTGTTTCAGGAGAGGAGCACTTACAGCAAACACCCATCAAATGCATCTTTCTGTGACCTCCCCATCCTTTCCAACAACACTCCACAGTGGGGATGTAACCACCAAAAGAAGAGAATTTGGAAAGTCTGCATCTGCTTCTCCTGAGCGTTTATGTCTGCTGAAAAGGTGGTTTGTGTGAATCCCAAAACCTGTGACTCAACACAAAGAACTAGTGTCCTTCCTGACCTCCCAGCATGGAGTCCAACAGGTTACATCCCGGTCAGCCTTCCTGGCTGCTGTGGGTGCCAATGTGATGAACCACAGCTGATGGCCACAGTTCCCTCCTCACACAAACATACACCAGCATTCCCTGAAGCTGGTGAAATCCCTCCTCTCTGTCTCCCAGAGATGTGAGGTCCAACACAGCTGAGTATCATGAAGCCTCACCTCTACCTCCACCTGATCCAAATGTTCTCCCAGACCCTGGAAGCCATTTTCTCTCCTACATGGGCCTTTGCATGCAAGGCTCCTCTCCTCCCTCCCACCAGGACCTGGGCTGGCCCCACCATCTTCTATAAGGTGCTCTCAAATCCATTTCAGAGCAAGGATTGCACCCATGCAGCAGGGTAGGCCATTTGTGTCCCATCACCCTAAAAACAGCACCCAGAGATGTTAGGCCTTGGGAATGCATAAGGCCACACGTATGCACAATGAGCCATTTGGTAGCCAAAAATATAAATGCTGAAGAGCCATACAAGCATGACAAGGCACAATGCAAGGTATAATTGCAGCATTAGTCTGAGAGATGAGCCCTGACCACTGGTTTCTGCTCCGGAGGCAATGTCCATCTCTTCTCCAGTCACTGCTCTGAAAGACTGTGCTGGGAGCACGGACACTTTGGTAATCCCAAACAATACAGAAAAAGGAAGAACAGAAGACAAAAGTTTCAGAAAATAGGGATAAGGAACTGAAGCTGCATCTCCTGCAAGCTGCTAAGCATGCAAAGGAAAAGGACAGCAAGTTGCTTCTCTTTCCTTGTACTTTTGCTGACAAAGAGATGAGGGTCAATGCATGGACACTTGGAGGCACTGCCAAAACAGCTGGCCCTGAGTTAGTCATAAGGGGAGAAGGAGAGGGGGGGCCCTTTATATCCTTCACTTTCTTTATCCTACTTCCCTTTCATTAACAAGTGATCTTTGCAATGTGGCATTCAGTTACGCTGAATTACTCTATCCCACTCTAATTGTCTCACTAAGTCACCATTGTTTTCTGACAGATGAGAAATGTACTGAGCCATTCACAGTTCTCTGCACATTTGCACACAACACTGCTTGTCTGCAGAGAGACCAGACCTCCAGCCCCAAGCCCAGCCAGAGCTCAGCCAGGTCTGGTCAGCACCTTGCAAACATACAAAGATCCTGACCCCAGGACTGCACAGCCAGGCTGGGTGGCTGCAGTGAGCACATGGGGTAAACTGGCACTGTGTGCTGCTTCTCCCTCCGGTTTTGCCCCAGAAAAAGCACTGTAGTCGCTTTTAGCTTCACCATTGGTGACTGATGCTAGTGGTAGAATCAGGACCTTTGTAATTAGCTCCCTGGATTGGGAATACCAAAGGTTATCCAGTAGCCTTATCACAGATGGATGCTTCACATAAGGATTCAGCACAGGCCCTGCTGTTCTGTGCCTCCTTAGCCCTGACCACATTGCTCACTCTTCTCCCCATGCTGAATTACCCAAGCTCTCAACTACTGACTCCTCATCCATTCTCCCCTCTCCCTGAGTTGCTGAGCACATTGTTTAACTTGAGATCTGCTCTTATTGCTGTTTTGTGTCACCAACTGACAGCATACAGTGCACAACTGATGTTACAAGTTGTTTGGAAATACCTTTTAATAAAAGGTCTTAACCCAGCCTTTCTGTATAACCAACACAGCTTGGGGTGCCAATGTAAATAAAGTGATCTGTATTTACATTCCTTCCAGACATCACAAGCAGGTCCCTGCAAACTATTTTTGCTACCAGTTCCTACTTCTCATGCCATTACAGTGCCACTAAATTTGGATCGGAGGCTTTCAACGCTTCCGCCTTTGCATTTAACATATGCTGTGGACAATAAGGTCAGTAGTTGCTAGAAGACTGCCTATGTTGAAAACTGCCCCAGAAACTCATGTGGTGGCCCGATTCAAAATTAAATTAAATTAGAAAAAAAAAAAAAAAAAAAAGAGGCAGTTCTGCAATCAAAGGGACTTGTTTTATGGGTTGAATGATTTTGATAAAAACTAATGAGACCCACAGACAGACGGTTTTGTTTTCACAGCTGATGGATGCCTTGCATAACAGATTCACATCAGCAAATATTTTTCCAGGGACAAATATGTGTCTGAGCACGAAGCAATGAGCAGACGTAGAGAATGCACCCAACCAACCCTAGGAGAAAGCTGTCGGTGCAGCCAGCTGCCTGCTACGTGTATGCAGGTTGCTGAGAGTTTCTATTGGCTTTTGGCACTTATCAGATCCACGGGAACAATTTAAACTTTTCACTTCTTGACACGAGTAAGCTCAGAAATATCACGTCCTCTCTGTTCTCCTAAAGGCAAGGTGAGGGCATTAATTCAATGGAGGCAATCGTTCATCCATCCACAAGAACAGCATGGGATGCTCGTCAAGTGGCGCGTTAAGGGTGTTACTAAATGTCACAGGAACTCAAAAATGAAGGGAAAGGTTTTCTGACAAACACTGGTAGGAGGCTATAAATATATTTTTAAAATTGTACTGTGTTTAAACCATATAAAAACTGGAACTGGGGGGAACTGGAACAAATTCAGTACATTTTTAATACTGTGAATAATTAATTGTCAGATGAAAATATCAATTTTATGCCTTTACGCAATATTACAATCTTCATTTAAACAGCTGTGCAACTGAATTTAGCTCACCTCTGTAAATTGAGTCATAGAATCACAGAATGGCTTGGGTCAGAAGGGACCTGAAGGATCATCAGGTTCCAACCCCCTGCCAAAGGCAGGGCTGCCAGCCACTAGATGCAGCACTAGATCAGACTGCCCAGGGCCCCATCCAACCTGGCCTTAAACACCTCTAGGGAATTCGCTCCCAATCTGATTTTTTTTTTAACCAAAACAGGGAAAAAAAAAAAAAAAAACCCACAAAAAAAACAACAACACTAAATAGTATTTTGGCTAGAAATTGAAATATCTGAGCCAAAACTCATAAACTTGTTTCTTGATTGCACAGCTCGTGACTCACAAAGCACCCCCAGTGAGTCATCCCCTGCTCAGCCTGCAATGGTCACTCATGGCTGTCATGGGAAGCATCACCTCCCTGAGCCTCCAACAAACAGAAAGAGGTTGCAGGAGGTAGCAAAGCCCCATCCCCTTCTGGGCCCTGTTATAATATCCCTGAATTGTACCCACTCATTCAGCCTTTTCCCTGTGCCTTTCAATACTCTGGTTTTTCCACCAAGCTCTCATCAGGATGTTTCACTGGAAAGTTTTCAACCATCCCTACAAATCCTCAAGTTCAGAGAGTTTTTAAAGGGATTGAGTCTGGCTTAAGGGAGCTCACAGTAGGGATTTCAGCTGGTTTAAGAAAAGACTTTCAAAAATCGATTTCACTGAAAGCAGCACGTGACATTTTGTTCCTTCTCACATGGAGGTGAGACCGATATCTGACCAAGCTAAACAAGACAGTGTTATTGATGGGTGCTGCTCTTTGAATGCAAACCCCTCTACCCCCTCTGGCTTCCTTCCCCCCCACTGTAATGATGCTCAGGAGGGATCTGGAACTGATTGCACCAGTCATCTACAAGCCACCAGGCACAAACCTTTTCTATTGCCCCCAAGCTGCTAATTTTGCCACTTGAACTCTGTTGTTAGAAGCTCTCTTGTGCCTAAATAGAACATACTGAAAATTAACGAATTATAGATAATAAGGAATAAATGGAATAAGTTCTATCTGTGTAGCAACCATGCTGGAATGGCAGCCTATTCCCTGGAAAGCCCTGTGGGTAACAGAGATATCAAGACAGCATCCAATCTGAATTTCCAGTTGTTTAAAATAAAAGACAACAGAGGAAGGTAATGGTTGTACGCCATGTATCTCATCCAGGCAACATCTGTGCCTGCAACAGCCCTGATATGTTGCTGTTTTTCTTGAATTCATTCAGCTGAGATTTTTCTGTCTAACTCTAGAGACCCCGGTTTTATCTCCTACAGGCACCACCACACAATGGTTTACAAATAGCCTTTCTGCTTGATTATAGGAACAGGAATAACAGGAAACTGCCCAAACACAAAAGTATAACCCTTACCCTATCCAGACTTTGCTCTTCTAAGGTGCCTCCATCTTCCTGCTGTGAGCTCTGCCGCAGATAAGATTAGACCTGGTGCTCAAATCTCCCATTTTCCACTTTGCTCATTCTTTTTCCTTCCTAAAAAGGCAGCTTATCATCAGTTTTAGAAAGGCTTTGCACTGGAGTGGAAGGTTGCTGTCTGTTAACAAGGAAGGGTGACCTTCTGGAGAGACTGGCCTCGCAGTCCCTGCCTTTTGAGTATCAAATCAAGAATCCTGCACTCTCCTTCTGTCTTTTGACCACCTGCAAATCTCAAGCCAAAAGTGAAGGCAGCTGTAGCAATAGAACCTGCCAGAGGTCATAGCTTGAAGCTGGGATAATCCCCTCTGTTACTAAACACAAATCAGCCCAAGAAACAAGTTCAAATACAGCAGTCGCTCTGATCACTTGGGGATGGAAGGTCTCAGAGGACAAACAGAGAAAGAAATGGGAAAACAGATGGTCTTGAGGTTGTGGCTGGGGGCTGAGCATCAGTCCAGTGCTCATCTCTCCTGATCACTGCCAGGTTCAGGCATATCCACAGTGCTTTTGAAAGCACTCCGAGGTGGCCCTGCAGTGTTCTCATAAGCTTGCATCACAACTGCCAGCAGAAGTGCATGCCCCTGCAGGGGCATATGGGACTGCCCCAAGTGTGGCAATGCTAGCTGTGCCTAGTTAGCAAAGTATATCTTGAGTGGTGTAAATCCACAGCCACACTGACACACTCCCAACCTGTGCCCAACACCCAGCTAAGAGGAACGCAATATATAACAAAGTCATGGTTGGGCCAGTTCTCTTTTTCACTGCCCCAGCAATGGAGAGAATAGGATCAACCAGAGCCTCTCCAAGCAAGCCTCAATGCCCCTGGAGCCATGGCACAAGGATCCCACCCATTCACTTCAGGGAATCGGATGGGACTGGGAACCGCTGCTGAAGGTGCTCTCAGGCTCTATTATTTGGAAATTGCTGGCTCAGAGCACAGAAATTAAAGTTCCAAAGTCATTCTTCTCCATTCACACCCTTGTTTGTTTTGTAGCAAGACATAATCTGAGAAAGGACTTTGCTTTTATATGGGACAGAGCTTAATGGCACAGGCGTTCCTTACTAGCAAATGTTCCCTAGGGCCTTTGCATTAATTGTTGTCATTATGGGTGTTATTGTCATGAACCTAAGCAGTTCAGCTGAGCTCAGGACACACAGTAAGGAACGGTTTCTAATCCAAAGCCTTTTATTGCTAGATACATGAGCAAAAAGGAAATGCGTGGGGAAGATTGCACCAAGAGATTAAATGAACCACCCAGGGTCACTTAAGAAGAGTTTGGTAATAAACCAAACATATTTTGCTTTACTGTCTTACTGCTCATTATCATCTGTAGGGCGTGGGCACAATCTGGAAGACTCTTCATTTGTTAGTTGTGACTGTTACAAAAACAACTGTGTAAGTAGTGCAAACAGTATTTCACATTTCAAGATGCTATAAAATATGTTACGTGTTATTCATTTACCTCTTGGTTTTACAAGACTGTGATTATCAGGGACAGAGCAATATGTCAGAAGAATACCAAATGAGGTGGAAAACAAAACAAATAGATAGATACCCCGCCTGATTCTACTTTGACATCATGACCTGGTCCCAGTTATGGCTCCAAGCTGGGTGACATTGGTGCAGATAGGCTTTCCTGTGCCCATGCATTACTGACTGCCATATCTGGGCTTTCTGCAGTAGGGCAGATTTTGATTTCCCAAGATAAGGATGGGAAAAAGTTTTCCTTCCCAAAGATATCTCTTGACAGCCCTCGAATCTCCACATCTGTGGTTTCTTTGTGAGACATAATTACTGACTTGTACTGCACGATGCTTTCCCAAAGGCTGTGCAAAGATAAGAGGTGTCCAGACTGACTGCCAAAGTGCACCATACCATGCCATGGATGCTCAAGCTATGTCTCACACTGAGCATTAGGGCATTAGAGAATCGAGTACAACCACAGAGACACCAGAGTAACCTGAACTTGTACTTTGGGAAAGAAATAAGCCAGGCAGGGCTGCCGAGCCCAGCATAGCCCAGTGTCCCATTGTGATAATCCCACACAGCAATGAGACAGCTGGGTGCCAATTGCTGTTAGTGTCCCCTTGCCTGCACTTCCATTGTTACATCATGCCATGTCGCACAGCCCCCGTGGTTCCTGTTGTTCTACTCCATGACAATTTTGAGCAGTAGCTCATGAGCTTGGGAAATGTGACCATTCCTGACATTCCTGATTCTTTTTAGCTGTGTTCAGAGCAGACAGCATAACTCAGTGTATGATACAGGATGTATGAAGGATCTGGTCTCGTGGTTCCATGTCATTATGCTCACTGTGCAATGGTCCTGGTTCTGGTTTACCCCAAGAATCCCTGGTTCTGGGTCATAATGGTCCTGGTTGGCCCCAGGCAGTCAGTGCCCTATACCTGTGATGGTAGAAACTTTACTTACAGATCTGGGAGTCTGGAGACCTCAGCATCTTCTTTGATTCCTGCCATATGGTTTTGCAGTCCTCCTGGAGCTTATAAAACCGCTCTTTCCTCCAAGAGCTGGACTTCACTTTTAGCAGCTGGCTGCCTTTCAAGAGGAACTTCAGGTCCTTGTCATCTTTCAAGCCTAGAGAGAAACAGTAGTGGTAATGCCACAAGAGTCAGCAAAAGAAATAGTCATAGAGACACAGAATCATTTGAGTGGGAAGGGACCTTTAAAGGTCAGCTAGTACAACTCCTGTTCAATGAACAGGGACGCCTACAGCTTGATCAGGGTGCTCAGAGCCTGGTCCACCCTCTGTACATACAGTAATAATGTAAATAGGTTCTTCACTGCCACAGAACAATAGTGAGAGACAAAAACAAAGCACCTGCAGTGCAGTCAGCTCTGGGGAGAACAGCAGGGTAGAGAGACCCAGAAATCTGCCATGTCACATTCTATGCTCATAAAAGAAACTGTAGCCTTGTGGACTTCTTAGACTAAGTCGGAAGACTTAAGTATAATTAGAAATATAAAATCATAGAATGGCCTGGGTCGAAAAGGACCACAATGCTCATCTAGTTTCAACCCCCTGCTGTGTGCAGGGTCACCAACCAGCAGACCAGGCTGCCCAGAGCCACATCCAGCCTGGCCTTGAATGCCTGCAGGGATGGGGCATCCACAGCCTCCTTGGGCAACCTGTTCTCAGGTAGTTTACAAGCATAAAATATCTTCTTCCCAGCCAATATAGTTAGCATGCAAAAACGATAAAAAGAACAATACAGCAGTAAAAGCAGAGGAAGGAAAGTTGTGTAACTTGTAACTGCAGTATTGTTGTGACCTTCAAAGAGATTTCAGCTTTATTCTGAACAAATTTCCTTCACAGAAACAGGATACACACAATGCCTCCCTTCCCTCTCTGAAAAGCATCCCCTTCTGGTCCCAGGAACTTCGGAGATTAACTCTGGGCTAAGGTTAAATCTTAAACTAGATCCAGGAAGGCACTTTGATATCTAGAGGAGAAGCTGTCATCTACTGAGACTTTTAAAACACACATTTGCCATTCTGCCAGGTTTTGAAGGTCTCAGCAATACCTGACTTCCACATACCAACATACCTTGCAGATTCTGTGCCTCAAACTAGCCACTAATTAGAGATCAAGAGTGGGTGAAGTGGCAGAGGTGGGCAGGAGAATGAAGCATGAGGAACACACCCTGGGCTTTCTGTAATAGGCACCTTGCCTATTACACCTCTGTCATTGCATCAAAGGCTTTTACTTTGTAGTACTGAGCAAGCACATCCCAAGTCAGCATGACTTTTGCTAACCTTATCATGACAATGCAGATGAGACTCTCTTAATAACTATTTGGCCACTTGCAGCCACCCAACACTCTCATCACAGGAAATTTCCCAATGCTACATAGATATAACACAGGACCTCACAATGTAGAAATCCACGTAAACTGATTTATGCAATAACATTTACATTGCAGTATGGCATTTCTCCATATCACTGGCTTTGATCCCTCTCTGGAAGACACTACTGCCCTGAATAGCTGCTATTTGAACAAGGCAAATAAATAAACTATCAAGCATTACTTGAAATACAAAGCCCAGAAAGAGACCCAAGTTGCCAAACTCAAGTTCCTGATAATTCATCCATGAAACCTAAGTGCCTGGAGCTGCAGAGCACCAAGGTGGGTCATAATGATAGCAGCAAAAAGCAGTGCTGTGTGTTTGTTAGAACAGCTTGTCCTAAAGAGTGTATTTCAGGCTGGGAAAGAGCCTGACAGCTCTGACAGTGACAAATATAAGGGTGTCCTGTGTTCGCTCAGCACAGCTTTGAGCAGCTCAGGCCACTTCAGTTGGGTTTGCCAACACCAGGGAGCAGGTCTGGGGCTGAGCCCAGCCGAGCCATCCAGAATTCAAAGCACTATTATGGAAGTTGGAGATCCCTGAAAGGTTGCTGTGGCCTCTTTCCCTCCTCTACATTCAATTAGCTGTCTCAGTAATTAACTGCCTGCTTTATTAATCCCCTCTTAGGTTTCCTGATGTTTAGACATACCCATGGGTCTACAAGAGGCCAGACTGCCAAGAAGGACTGACACCACAAAGGCCTCACAAAGCCTGGGTATCCTGAGCAGCAATGTTGAGGTTTCTTCTCTGAGATGTAGGTCTTTCAAGAACAGAGAAGGTATCACAGGCTCAAACAGGTTGCACAGAGAGATGTTGGATGCCCCATCCCTGGAGACATTTAAGGTCAGGCTGGACCAGGCTTTGAGCATCTGATGGAGCTGTAGATGTTCCTGTTCCTTGCAGGAGAGTTGAATTAGATGTCCTTTCAAGGTCCCACCTCAAATGATTCTATAACAGGCTTTGCTAACATTGCCATGGTAGCCTTCATGGTTCCTGGAGAGGGAACAAAGTTCCTCCTATGTATTCACCTACAAAATTTCTGTTTTGGCTCCCAGACTCACTCTGTCCTCCCTCAGATCCCAACCATGCAAGGCATCCTTGTGGCACCATGAGGAGAACATGCCATCCTAAGTTAAGCACGAACAGGAAAGCAGGAAAACCACCAATTCCTTTGGGTGCTTAAGTGCATAAGCATGTTACGAGAAATCCATTTTAATTGTGACACGTTTTGTTACACAGACACTGCATGCAGTATGTATAACATGTCATGCTACCTGGGCAAAATGCTGCATCAGTCTCACACAGGGAAATCTGCATGGCCACTAGCAGAAGATGAGGGCAGATTTGTCTCCTTCAGGCTAGATCCACACAGGTAAGGCACAAGCTGGAGTGCAAGTAAGAAGGAAGTGAGAGAAGCCAGGGAGGGGATGGAGAAAAAGTGGCTCTGTGACAGAATCAGAGTCATAGGGGTTGGAAGGTACCTCTAGAAATCCCCCAGTCCAACTCCCTGTTAAAGCAGTTCTCTACAGTACATCACACAGGAAAGTGTCCAGGTGGGTCTTGAGTATCTCCAGAGGAGACTATCACCTTTCTGGGCAGGCTGTTCCAGGGCTCTGTCACCCTCAAAGTAAAGAAGTTCTTGGGGTTGGCCAGGGAAGGACAAGAGGGCAAGATGAATGCCTAAGAGCACACCAATTCCTTTAATGTGGGGAGCTGGAAGTCTCTCAGGGCCCTTCAGATATAAAGCAGTCACTCTGGGTTGACTTATGCCAACAGTGACCCAAAGATTGGATTGAACCACCCAGTGGGGTGCCCAGAGGAAGGAGGGCCAACCCATTGGCCAAGCAATCCAAGTCAACTGGGTGAGCACATACACTGCTTCAGGATGGCTCTGTATTTGTCAAACAGTATCTCAGACAGCCAAACTGTCCTGGAAAGTGGGCCAGGGGGAGGGCCTTGTCTCCTAAGCCTGGTCCTAAACACTGTCACAGATCCTTTAAATGCCCTTGGGCAAGACACTGAGCTTCTTCATTTCTATCTACGAGGCAGTTAACAATGTTTTGTTAGGTCAGAGGAGTCCGGCATCCTCTGATCTGCTGATACAGGACCACAGATGCACACTGATGTGTTAGTGGGACATTATTCTCTGCTGTTCATTTGAATTGCTTTCCAGAAAAGATTAAAAAAACCCTATATTTTCCCAGCAGAGCTTTCCTTCATTTCAGTTTTTATGCCCGAACAATCCCTGGGGATTTCTGCTAAATATCCCCAGGGAGCTGCTGAGGTTTGCTGTGCAGAGCTCTGTCTCACAGCAATGGAAACTTCTATATGAAAGGAACCAGAGTTGTCATATACACATGTCATTTAAAGCTTCCAAAAACACTGTGCAGCGGGACAGGGATATTGGTTTGCAATTATATAACAATGTAGGGCAGGAGAAAAACAATTGCCACACTGAAATCAATGTCCAAATCATGCCTGAAATATGTGGCAGGGCTGTATCTTGCTCAGAACCTGCAAAATACCAAGTACACACTTGCCACGGAAAATTGTAATGTGTGTTTCAAGGATCAGGCCCCAGTCCTCAAACAATATCAATCACATACCTTCTAAACAGAATATATTCAGTGTATACAGTTTAGAGGGAAAATTGCATCTGACAAAGTTAGGAGAGCCTTAAGCATGCTCAGCACTGCAGCAAGCACGTCTTGCACTATGAAGCTGTAGATACCAAGAGATCAGAAACATTAACACTGGTATTATGCATCTCAGCTATAAAGCAAGTGGAGAACACAACAACACAGCAACTGTCACAGCAGCAGCCTGACTCCAGCTTCACTAAGGAGATGGTTAGGGTGATGTTTACAGGTGACAGCAACAATCTGCAGTGCTGCGTTGCTCACTCTCAAACCTGCTGATCTGATAACGTTAATCACGACTGCTATAAAGCAAGTTTCCTCCTCCTGCTTCTCTCCCCCACCTGCTTGATTAGATTCAAACAATTCCAGTGGGAAAATAGCTGTTTTCCATTTCCACCTGTTCTCTGCAGCCACGTAAATCAAGAACTTGTATCAACATGGGCTGTCCCTCCAGAAAGCAGGAACCAGCAATGAGTTCATAGCCACAGGAGTTACGAAACTCCCTGGGTTTCCTGTCTCTTTTCATCTGGTGAATGCAAACCTCTCAGTGGCACCACACCACCCAGAAGCCCTAAAATCAGGCAGGAAAGGAGCCACCGCCATCCTCACGCCAGCAATAGCTCAAAGCCCAGCAAGAAAAGTTCAAACCCACCCTTTGCCAGAGAGGTCCCGCTTTCTTTGATGCCTCATTCGAAGCGGTTTGTACATCTGGAGGGCGGTTACAGGCAAAAGAAAGGGGAAAAAAAAAAAACCCTCAAGAGTATAAAAATAACCTTGGAATTGCCTTTAGGGTGGAGTGCTGCCTCTGCGCAGGGAAAAGAGGCAGAAACGAAGAGGCTGCCAGCATGTGGAAGTGCTGAGGGTCTGACCAACGTGTCCCTTACCCAGCCTGATGCCATTCAACGCGGCCACTCTACGGCTTTGCTCCCGCAGGATGTTTTCCTGGGACACGCTGCGCTTGGGCTGCCTTCGGATGCACTGCATGGTCCAGCGTAGGGCTCGGAAAGAGGCACCGAGCGCTGGGAAGGACGAGGGGCCCCGTTGGCCCCGAAGGGATCCGTGCTCATCCAGGAGCCCCAGGCGTGCGCGGCG